GTCTTCTCGGTGAGAAGAACACCACTCGACGAACAGGTTCCACTTCAAGGCGTAGGCGTGTCTCGTAGACGGTAGTGATGGTGTCAACTACCTCTTGGGGTAGGTCACCTAGAACCTCCGTTTCCTGTCCAGGGACCAGACATGAAGTTTCCAGAGGTCTGAACGCGGGTGCCACAGGTGTTCCGTCTCTTAGTCAGTAGATCCTTCCTCAGAAGAATCTGCCAGGGAGGGGCTGTCGCGAGGAGCATTAGTTCGGGGAACCAGGTCCAAGTGGGCTAATACGGTGCCACAAGCAGGACCTGCTTTTCATCCTCCCTGACCTTGCACAGCGTCTGTGCGAGAAGGCTCACTGGGGGAAACGCATACTTGCGCAGGCGCCGCAGCCAGCTGTGTGCCAGTGCGTCCGTGCAGAGTGTTCCCTCGGTCAGGGAGTAGAACAACTGGCAGTGAGAGGTTTCTGGAGAGGCAAACAGGTCTACCTGAGCGGCTCCAAAACGTCTCCAAAACAGCTGGACCGTCTGGGGATGGAGTCTCCATTCTCCTGGGAGTGTAGCTCGTGACAGCTCGTCGGCCGTACGGTTGAGTAGACCCGGAATGTGAATGGCACGAAGTGACCTCAGAACCTTCTGACTCCAAAGGAGGAGGTGGCGGGCGAGTTGCGACATGCGACAGGAGGGCAGACCATCTTGTCGGTTGATGTACGCAACGGTCGCTGTGTTGTCCGTTCAGACCAGCACATGCTTGCCTTGTAAGCACCCTTTGAGACGGTTCAAGGCAAGGCGCACTGCTAACTACCAGTGCAGTTGGGGGCCCGTCCATACCCCAGACACTGCGTGCCCGTTGTACGTGGCCCCCCAGCTTGTGCCCCAGGAGCCTCGACAGCTCGTCGGCCGTACGGTTGAGTAGACCCGGAATGTGAATGGCACGAAGTGACCTCAGAACCTTCTGACTCCAAAGGAGGAGGTGGCGGGCGAGTTGCGACATGCGACAGGAGGGCAGACCATCTTGTCGGTTGATGTACGCAACGGTCGCTGTGTTGTCCGTTCAGACCAGCACATGCTTGCCTTGTAAGCACCCTTTGAGACGGTTCAAGGCAAGGCGCACTGCTAACTACCAGTGCAGTTGGGGGCCCGTCCATACCCCAGACACTGCGTGCCCGTTGTACGTGGCCCCCCAGCTTGTGCCCCAGGAGCCTCTAAAATAGTTTCAGTGAGATTGCTGTCCTGCCCTTGAACGAATTCAAGCAGTTCAGCACCGACTGCGCACGTTCCTCTGTGAGGCGTGCTGTCTATTCGACTGAATCCAACTCCATACCAAGAAAAGAGATCCTCTGCGTCGGGGAGAGTTTGCTCTTTTCCCAGGTGACCTGAAGGCCCAACCGGATGAGGTGCGAAAGCACCAAGTCCCTGTGCGCACCCAACTGATGCTGAGACTGAGCTAGTATGAGCCAGGGGAACAAGGGCTGCCTCCGCAACTTACGTGAAGACACGGGGCGACAGGGACAGCCCGGAGGGCAGGACCTCGTACTGATATGCTCGTCCTTCGAACGCGAACCGCAGAAGCGGTCTACGGCGCAGAAGTATCGACACATGAAAGTACGCATCCTTCAGGTCGATTGCTGCAAACCAATCTCGGGGAAGGATGCACCCGAAGATGCGTTTCTACGTCAACATCTTGAACGGTAACCGGCAAAGCGCCCGGTTCAAGACACGCAGATCCAAGATTGGTCGTAACCCACCGCCTTTCTTGGGTACAATGAAGTAAGGGCTGTAGAACCCTGTATTCATATTGGCTGGAGGGACCGGCTCTATCGCATCCTTTGCCAGTAGGACTGCGATCTCCACATGCAAGACAGGAGCATCGGCCGCCTTCACTGTCGTGAAGCGGATGCCGCAGAAGCCAACACAACGGGTTGGGTAGCGCTAGCCAGGCACCCAGATACCGTGCAAGCGGGACCAGCGGAACCACCACCGTAACCGCAGTGGGGCAGCAAGGTGGAACGCAGGGACCCAACTCGGGCGGCTTGTGAACAAACCGAAGAGGGGTCTGAGTGTGCGGTGCAACGCTTACCTGGTTCCACAGTTTGGCAGAGGGTCCGTGAGTAGGGCCTTTGTTGACGCTCTCGAACCGCCCGCTGCTGCCTGCTGGCAATGGAGGAGGATGAGTGTGGTCCGGTGCTAGTCCGTCCGCGACTCTCCGTGCCCTCCTGGGACCCAGGGTTAGAGAAAACCACTCTCTCATCGAGGTTTTCCAGATTCTCCACCCGGCCCTCCTGCGGGGGAGGGAGAGGTGCTTTCACCATCCCCCAAAGAGCAGGTTCCTCCCTCTCTGGGTCACCCGTCCCGGGGCCTCTTGCGCTCACTGCCAGGTTTGACGGGGGCCTGGACGGGTGGGGCGGCCTGCCTACGCCCAGCATACAGAAACGCACGGGTGAAATGGCATCTTTAAAAACACGATCCGTCATCTTTACAAAGACGCATGCACCCGAAGATGCGTTTCTACATCAACATCTTGAACGGTAACCAGCAAAGGGCCCGGTTCAAGACACGCAGATTGTACTCTTTTAGAGAAATTGCTCTTTTAGGGAAATGCTCTTTTACGTGCTGAGACGCACAGGGGAAACGGCCATTTGCAGCACGACAGGGGGTAGTGCAGCCTGAAGTGCACAACCCACTCGACACAGGAACGACCACTGCTGAAGCGCCATCCGCCAACACAAAAAGCTCACGAGAGCGCGCTAGACTCGTCACACACGAAGCAGTTTGGTAGGAGCAGAACGATGTTGTTGCTCGGCTCCGAAGCGAAAAGCTGGTATGCGTTGCACCGGCTGCCTTTTTATGCTCACGCTGTGATCAGCGGCAGCTGGATGCAATCATTGCATGCCAATGTGCATTGGCTCATTTAGTTTACACTCGAAGTGGATTGGTCTCTCTAAGCGAGATCCCAATTCATCAGTCACCGACATGACTCGGAGTGACCGACTGAAAGGTAACCAAAAGAGTTGGAATATAGTGCAAAAAGAAGCTCAAGCATTCACCAAAACTCAATTTGTGCTTCATGAAACAAAGTCAATTATATAGGTTTAGAACAACACTAAAAATAAAGGTTCCTTATTGGATGGGTGAAAATGAGAATTCATTTTTGGCTGAATATTTTCAGTTGCATCAGCACATCACAAGCGAACAACCAATATAACCACAGAGAGTGACCGACTGAAAGGTAACCAAAAGAGTTGGAATATAGTGCAAAAAGAAGCTCGAGCATTCACCAAAACTCAATTTGTGCTTCATGAAACAAAGTCAATTATATAGGTTTAGAACAACACTCTTAAAAATAAAGGTTCCTTATTGGATGGGTGAAAATGAGAATTCATTTTTGGCTGAATATTTTCAGTTGCATCAGCACATCACAAGCGAACAACCAATATAACCACAGACTGAACCAACAACACCATCTGAACCACTGCAGGAGAGTCTCTATACAGATGCTGAATCAAGCAAGACCTTTCACTTGAGTACCAGTGACATAAGAAGACCCGTTACTCTTTCACACAGTCTTACCATATGCAAAAAGCACAAACCCAAGAGGCAAGTCTTCTCTGATAAGTGCAGGCCATCGGGGTGATTATGTAAGGCCACGTATGAGCGCACAGAACATGCTTTACATGCAACCTGCAGGCGGTCAGATGTAGAGGACTCATGCATGAATTAACAGTGTGTCTGAACCATTAATGTCAGTAACAGTACTGTTACACGGCGAAAAATCTCTGCTGGTTTCTTAAGTAAACGTGTTTATTCAGCTACAAATGCTAAGTGTTATAATAATACTACTGGCTGTTTCACATGTAAACAAAATATTTTGGGTTCAACATCATGTTGACAGCAGTAATTAAAGGAATAGTTCACTCAAATGAAATTTTACCGCCATCCAAGATTTAGATGAGTTTGTTTGTTCATCAGAACATATTTGGAGAAATTCAGCATTACATCACTTGCTCACCAATGGATCCTCTGCTGTGAATGGGTGCCGTCAGAATGAGAGTCCAAACAGCTGATAAAAACATCACAATAATCCACAAGTAATCCACACCACTCCAGTTCATCAGTTAATTTCTTGTGAAGTGAAAAGCTGCGTGTTTGTAAGAAAGGTACAAGGAAAATACAAGTCCTCCATCTATAACACTTTCTCCAGCGAAAAAGTTTTTGATGTGAGAAGACAACAGGGGATGGTCTTTTTCACTGGAGGAAGCATTTTTATGGATTATGGGCTCATATTTTGGCCAGAAGTGACTGCTTAAATTTACAACGCCTTGATGGATTTGCTGCTTACAAACATGCAAATTTTCACTTCACAAGACATTAACTGATGGACTGGAGTGGTGTGGATTACTTGTGGATTATTATGATGTTTTTATCAGCTGTTTGGACGCTCATTCTGACGGCACCCATTCACTGCAGAGGATCCATTGGTGAGCAAATGATGTAATGCTGAAAATCTGTTCTGATGAAGAAATAAACTCATCTATATCTTGGAAGTCCTGAGGGTGAGTACTTTTACAGCCATTTTTCAATTTTGGGTGAACTACTCCTTTAATGTCGTGATTTTAAGAGCAGCTATTGTCTTCCTAAATGAGCTTTCATCTAGCATATTTAATGATTATTACTGCTGTCTGCTAAGGTGAGCATAATGATGACTGTTAGTGATTTGAACAAACTAACACTAAGTATTAAACTTCAACATACACCAGTGCTACTGTATGAACATGAATACTTCAAATAATGTGGTCTGTGAAGGAGATCCAGTGAGCAACCACCTAGAGCACCCTAGCAACCACTCATGACATCCTAGCAACACGGAGGTGACTTTTGAACTGGTAGACACTAATTCAAATAACTGAATTATTCACACCCTTCCAAGTCCCTTACAGACATCAGATACGACTTGAAAGTAACCAAGAGTCACTGTTTATCTTTATGATATGAAGAGTAAAGCATATTTACCTCCTCCTGCAATTCCTTATTCCTCTTCGTCATCTGCTCCAGCTTTTCATCAGACTGTAAACTCTGTTTGAGTGTGAGTAAACCTCTAGTTAGTCATGTACTCAAATATACACTTCCATTCAAAAGTTTGGAGTTGGTAAGATTTTTTTTTATGTTTTGAAAGAAATTAATCTCTTCTGCTCACCAAGGCTGCATTTATTTGATAAAGCATATAGTAAAAATAGTATAATATTATTACCATTTAAGATAAATGTTTTCTATTTTTAATATATCTTAAAACATAATTTATTCCTGTGATCAAAGCTGAATTTTCAGCATCATTCCTCCAGTCTTCAGTGTCACATGATCCTTCAGAAATCATTCTAATATGCTGATTTGCTGCTCAAGAAAGGATTCAAGGATTCTGTGATGAATAGAAAGCTAATAGAAGTATCTTTTGATCAATTTAATGCATCCTTGAGCAATAAAGGTATTCATTTCTTTCAAACAAACAGGAAAAAAAACTAACTGTAACACCACAATAAATAAATATACAATCTCCTTCAAGCAGTGTAAAATAACTGAACTTATGGTATTTGGGAAACTATAGTAAAAACTACTGGTTAAAAGTTTGGAGTAATTAAGATTTTACTAATGTTTTTGAAAGAAGTCTCTTCTGCTCACCAAGGCTGCATTTATTTGAACAAAAAATTGAGTAAAAACAGTATATTGTAAAATATTATTGCAATTTAAAATAATTCTACTTAAATATATTTAAAAAATGAAATTTATTCCTTTGATGGTAATGTTGAATTTTCAGTGCCATTACTCCAGTCTGCAGTGTCACATGATTCTTCAGAAATCATTCTAATATGCTACAAATAACATTAACATCTTAATATTACCCACCCCAAACTTTTGACCGGCAGTGTATAAAACAGCAGGAGCTACTGGGCATATGTTTTACAAATGTCATTTGGTCACCTGGGTTTGGTCTTTGTAGGCTTTCAGTTCCACCACCTGCCGTTCCAGCTCAACACTCCTCTCTGGGATTCTGTTCAACTCTCCTTCTGTTCGGCCCAACTTCTCCTTCAGCTCCTTTATCTGAAGATCTCTCTCTTCATCCTTCGCCTGTTCCTGGTGCTGCCGGAGGGCCACATCCCTCTGCAGCTCTTCCTTCTCCCTGGACACCTGGTCCAGCTTCTCTTTCTGCATTCTCATGTTCCTTTCTATTTCTGGCGCCACACAGAAGTACTCATAGAGGAGCTCATGCAGCAGTATTTGTGCTAATATGATCATTTTCCACAAACTTTCACACAAATTGGATTACGGAGCAAGTAAAAGTGTGTCGTCGTGTATTATGGCTCCGCTGGGAACGGCTGGTTTATCTCATGAGCATGCAAAAACGATGGCGCAAAGCGGTTCATGCTGGCACAGGTTCACATGACAGGGATGCAAATATCAGTTCAGATGCTTAACAGTAGTTATTGAGCATTTAAGTGCTTTTTTTCATGTTTTGCTTACCTTGCATGGCTAGTGTTGCTTTATTATTGTCCTCTGCTGCTGTGTCGAGTTTCTGTTTCTGAAATCAGACAAAGAATTGGTACAACAGGTTGACCAAAAGGAAAAAACAGGTTTACCTTGGTTTGTTTTATGTGCATTTTTAAAATATGTATTTGCTATTATGCAGACGAGGATCATTATTACTGTTTGTCATACTTGAGTATTAAACTGAAAATAAAATAAATAAAATAAAGATCTTATGTTTATTTTATAAGTATAAACACAAACATGCACACACATATATACAGTGTAAAAAAAAGATTTTTCAAAGTTGTAAAAAAATGAAGTAAATTTTACAAAAAAAACACTGTTTCAGTCTTTCTGCTTCAAAATGTCAAGTTTAATTCACTGTTTCTTTGTAATTATTTGTGAAATATACTAGCAATTTCTGAGTGAAAATAGTTTCTAGACCAATTTCAGTGTATATTACATAAATTTGTTTATATAGAAATTTTATATAAATGTGCTTGACTTTGCAAAATAACTGTTTATTGTGATAGTTATTAAATTCAAGTATTAAACTAAAAATAAAAAATACAATAAAATAGCGTGCTTGGGTTTATTTTATATATATATTACATCCATTTATTTACACAGACATTTTATATAAATGTGCTTTATTTTCATAACTGATAATGTCATTAAATTCAAGTACTTGGTGCCTTTTATCATATTGCTATTGCTGCTTTACGTAAAGCCTAACCAAACCTCTTAACCATAGTAAAAATCACTGTGATGTATGACTTCTCATGACTTATTGGCTTAAAAGACATGATTTTGTAATGATATAACACTTAATTTGAGACTAATTTATGCATCCCCCGGCACATTTAAATAATTCAATATAAAAAGCAGTTATTAGATCACCATATGGGCTGAAGGGAGGATTAAGTACAGCACAAGTAATAGAAATCTTTAAAAAGAAATGCCATTATCATTATGTGAAATAAAAAACTGGCTTTTTCAGGTTAGTAAACAAGCAGCATTAGTGTTGAGTACCAGATCTTGCAGCTGCTGCTGGAGGCATGTTCTATCCTGTTCAGAGGAGGCAAGTTTCTGCTGGAATAGGAGAACTTCCTTCTGTCTATCCTCTAACTCAAAGTTCAACTCCTTGATCTATAAGAACACAAAGATCAGTTCTTATGATGCAAATGTCTTCTGGTGCCACATGTTATAATGCGTCTTGTTTAGGGGGATTAGAGGAAGGGGCTGAATGGACCTTTTTGTCTTGTAATGGAGGTGAGGCTGATCCCGCGGTCTCGGCCCGGAGAGTTCTCAGCTGAAGATGCAGGTCGGACACTTCCTTTTCCAGCTCCATGATTCTGGAGCGCTCGGACACCGTGGCCACCTACAGCGGGACACAAGACTTCATCAACCACTTATTGTGGTAAAACTAAAGGCATTAAACATAAACTAGATATTTTCTGCATAGGAAATATTACAAATATTCTTTATGCAAAACAATTTTTTATTTTCTTCACTTGATTTTGGGATGAAAAATGACTTGTAGAGATGCACCCAGTGACCTACCTCAATCCATCATGGAACAAAAAAATAATAACTTCCCCAAAATAAGCAAAATCACTTCCGTGCATGGGGATCTGACATTAACCCCAAGAGAAATCTCTCTCACCCTCCCATCTGACAGATTGATTTACCCTAGTATCCTCTAACTCCCTCTGGAGTTTGTCTGCTTTGGTCTTTTCAAAGAGAAGACTTTGTTCGAGCTCCTTAATGTGGGCATGCTCCAGTTTGGTCTGCGTCTGTTAGTAGACAGAAGAGGAAAAGAGAGAGACAACAGCAACGGTGCGGTCACGTGCCAGCCAAAAGCCAAGTACGAAGAGCTTCATGCAGACCTTGACATCATCCTCCTCCATCATCCTCCATGAATGCGGACAAAGACAGCAGTGACACACAGAGAGAGAGGCGTGAAGACGGAAGATTGCATCAAAAAAACAAAACAAAAAAAACAATGACATGAAACAAATGTGGGTCAAAGAGCGGGCCGATGCAAGAAAGATGAAAGAGGTCAATAATAAAAGAATGAATGAAGGAAAGAAATGTGTGAATGTGATAAAAGATGAAAAATGAAGAATGCAGGGATAAAAAAAGTGAATGAATGAACAAATAAAGAGAATAAGGTGAATGAAGCATCAAAGAATCAAGAGTCAGGAGTCAAATCAAAGAGTCAAAGAGCTATAAACAGAAGTGATGCACCATTTATTACTTATTAAAGAAAGATAAATAGATCTTTGAAAACTTCTCCAAATAGATTTTTGAAGAAATTGATCTTCATATAATAACATGATTTGATCTTGAGACAAAATCAATAAATTAAAGAATCTATCTATCTAGTGGTCTTTCATTTACAAATACCTTTATATCACTGAATTAATGAATCTATCTATCTATCTGCAGTTGTCAACATTTGAAGTGGATCAAAACCTTTCATCAAAGATGTTCTAAAACCAAAACAATTACCGTCCTTGTCTTAGGACAACTTTAATGAACTTCTTTGATCCACTTCAAATGTTGACTACTGTATATATCGCTTTAAAAGTAATCTTTACATATATCTACTTTTCTCTTGTGATGAAAAGTAGATGTATGCCTTGCTGTCTTGCTAAAATATAAGTATAAAAGATATTGATCATTTTGTGACACAGACTGATCTGTTAAAGACAGGTGTCTGCGCCGGTCCGCTAATATCCAGTTTCTTTCTATGTAAATGTATATGATAGGATCACTTTACCTCTAGGTCACCTTTGGTAATGCAAGCTTCCTCTACACGGAACTGCAGATCCTCCACTTTTCTGTGGGACAAAATGTACACTTCAAGCCCTAAAATGTTTCCTCACACGTTCAAAATACTGCATGTTCTTCTACAGCAATCAATTAATATGCAAGATATTTTTAATTATAGGGGGTTACCTTTTTTCCTCTTCCAGTTGATTCATCAGTTCCACTTTATCTCTGTCTGCAGTCTCCACGAGTCTCCGCAACTGGTCCAACTTGGCTTCCATCTCCAAAGCGTACTTCAAAAAAACGCAACTCATTTGAATCTCAGTCTCTCGTTTATCATCCCAAAGACGACTTTCACATGACGCTATAGAACTGACCTGTTCCTGGCCCTGTCTGAGCAGCGCCAGCTCTTGCTGCACTTCCCCGGCATGACTTGTGGCTCGTGCCACTTCCGTCCTCTCCAGGTCCCGCTCGGCCAGGAGCTGCTCGATGTGCTGCTGCTTCTCCTTCAGGGCCTCCTGCAGGGCCGTGGTGCCTGAGATCTTCCGCGCGTACCGTGCTGATGTCTCTGTGAGCTGAGAGATTATTGACGGGTATTACTTCACATAATTTTTGGAGAAAAGTGTATTCTGTGAATGAAACATGTGGGACTGTACCAGGCCAGCACGGCTGGGTTTGCCCCCAACTGAGGAGGTGACAGAGCTGAGGGAGCTGATGGAGGACGCGCTGGGGCTATTCTTTAGGGTCGACCTGCGCCTGGAGGTTTTGGATTTAGCGGGAGTGGTGGACGGGAATCCAATGCGGGTGACTTTGTGAGTAGGAGCGAATAGTCCGTACTTTGGTAGGCACTGGAAGTACCTATGGGAGTGAAGCATAAAAATACACTACTACTGTTCAAAAATCTGGAGTCGTTATGACTTTAAATGTTTTTTGTATTACTTTTTTTTTTTCCTCCTTTTTTTCAAACAAATACAGAACAAAAGGATACATTCTAAAGAACAACCAATACACATAACAGACATATACATACAGACAGTGGTCACCAAATATAACTTATACTACATTCATGAGTATTCAGATTTTGATCAGATTCTGCCATACAAAGTTATGTTAAGGGTTACTCATCTGACACAGTTTATGTATTAAGAGTCAAAATGATCTGAGGATCCCCTTTTTTGGGGGGGATTTACAGTACTTCCATACTGTAGACATCATGTACAATTTCTTGCCATTCACATACAGATGGGGGATCTTCCTTAAGCCATTTCCTTGTAATGGCATTCTTACTGGTTGCTAATAATATATTAAAGAGGTATATATCCTTCTTTGCTATTTTTGAAGAGGCCAGTAAGTATGAATGATATTACAGTCCCAGAAGATGTGAAAATGGTCAGCCGATACAGTTCCGCATTTTCTCCAGCATTCACATGTTTTTGGATTCCCAGATTGCAAATATTTTATTTCAGGGGTTATGAAAAACCTTATTATATTTTTCCAAGTGAACTCCCTCCATGAATCTGAATTAGTTGTGGTCATCTGAGTTCTCACCATTCTTCTTCTGTTATACTTATATTGGCTTCCTTTTCCCATGTTTGTTTCACATACATTGTTGAGTGTTTTTTTGATGACGTTAAACAGGAATAATTTCATGATACAAGTTTTTTATTCATCTTTTTTTTTTTTTATAAGTATCTACAAATATCTGTACTATCGTTGATCCTACATCTTCTGAATCTCTTATATTCTTATTAAAGCAATGTCTAACTTGAAGATAACGGAATAAGTCTTGTTTATCTAAGTTGTATTTATGAGAAAGTTGTTGGAAACTCTCTAGCCCACTCTCGGTAGAAATGAGGCAGAAGGATGTTATACCTTGTAACTTTAAAAGTTTTTGAAAGAAGTCTCTTTTGCTACAAGGCTGCATTTGTTTGATCAAAACTACAGTAAAAACATCAGTAAAATATTATTAAACTTGACTTTTTTTCTATTTTAAAATATTATAAAATGTAATTTATTCCTGTGATGCAAAGCTGAATTTTCAGCATCGTTACTCCAGTCTTCAGTGTCACATGATCCTTCAGAAATCATTCTAATCTGCTCAAGAAACGTTTCATATTATTTTCAGTGTTGAAAATACAAGTATTCTTTTTTCTTTCTTTCAAAAAAAAGAGAAAATCTTACTGACCTAACTTTTAAACTGATCTACTTTGTAATTTAGCTCACAATTTTCCAAACCAACTGTACACTTCCCATTAGACAGTTCAATCAGAGCAATCTGAGGTTAAAACCAACATGAAACTGCATTAACCACCCATTTAACTTCCGTAATGTGACACAGTAAAATGATTTTTTTTTTCCATAGGGAATTGATTATGAAAAATAAAGTATATGACATAGTTGGGGAAAAAAAAACAAAGGAGATCTCAAGAGTGTCTTAAAACTGTGCTTAGATTCACCTAGATAAGTAGGACCTGAAAGATCTGTTTGATAAATGTGTTTTAAAACAGAACGCCCTGTTCCCATGGTATGATCTTATGTGATTCTGACAAGTGTTGGGGAGTAACTAGTTACATGCAATGGCGTTACGTAATTTAGTTACAAAATAAATGTAACTGTAATCAGTTACAGTTACTAAGAAAAAATGTGTAATTAAATTAGTTACTTATGAAAATGTTAACGATTACAAAGGGGATTACATTTGAATATTTACACACAAATTATAGGGGGTTACCTTTTTTCCTCTTCCAGTTGATTCATCAGTTCCACTTTATCTCTGTCTGCAGTCTCCACGAGTCTCCGCAACTGGTCCAACTTGGCTTCCATCTCCACAGCATACTTCAAAAACACGCAAAAACAGAGTCTCGTTTATCATCCAAAAAATTACGACTTTTACATAATGATGATAGAATAGCTACCGACCTGTTCCTGGCCCTGTCTGAGCAGCGCCAGCTCTTGCTGCACCTCTCCGGCATGACTTGTGGCTCGTGCCACTTCCGTCCTCTCCAGGTCCCGCTCGGCCAGGAGCTGCTCGATGTGCTGCTGCTTCTCCTTCAGGGCCTCCTGCAGGGCCGTGGTGCCTGAGATCTTCCGCGCGTACCGTGCTGATGTCTCTGTGAGCTGAGAGATTATTGACGGGTATTACTTCACATAATTTTTGGAGAAAAGTGTATTCTGTGAATGAAACATGTGGGACTGTACCAGGCCAGCACGGCTGGGTTTGCCCCCAACTGAGGAGGTGACAGAGCTGAGGGAGCTGATGGAGGACGCGCTGGGGCTATTCTTTAGGGTCGACCTGCGCCTGGAGGTTTTGGATTTAGCGGGAGTGGTGGACGGGAATCCAATGCGGGTGACTTTGTGAGTAGGAGCGAATAGTCCGTACTTTGGTAGGCACTGGAAGTACCTATGGGAGTGAAGCATAAAAATACACTACTACTGTTCAAAAATCTGGAGTCGTTATGACTTTAAATGTTTTTTGTATTACTTTTTTTTTTTCCTCCTTTTTTTCAAACAAATACAGAACAAAAGGATACATTCTAAAGAACAACCAATACACATAACAGACATATACATACAGACAGTGGTCACCAAATATAACTTATACTACATTCATGAGTATTCAGATTTTGATCAGATTCTGCCATACAAAGTTATGTTAAGGGTTACTCATCTGACACAGTTTATGTATTAAGAGTCAAAATGATCTGAGGATCCCCTTTTTTGGGGGGGATTTACAGTACTTCCATACTGTAGACATCATGTACAATTTCTTGCCATTCACATACAGATGGGGGATCTTCCTTAAGCCATTTCCTTGTAATGGCATTCTTACTGGTTGCTAATAATATATTAAAGAGGTATATATCCTTCTTTGCTATTTTTGAAGAGGCCAGTAAGTATGAATGATATTACAGTCCCAGAAGATGTGAAAATGGTCAGCCGATACAGTTCCGCATTTTCTCCAGCATTCACATGTTTTTGGATTCCCAGATTGCAAATATTTTATTTCAGGGGTTATGAAAAACCTTATTATATTTTTCCAAGTGAACTCCCTCCATGAATCTGAATTAGTTGTGGTCATCTGAGTTCTCACCATTCTTCTTCTGTTATACTTATATTGGCTTCCTTTTCCCATGTTTGTTTCACATACATTGTTGAGTGTTTTTTTGATGACGTTAAACAGGAATAATTTCATGATACAAGTTTTTTATTCATCTTTTTTTTTATTTATAAGTATCTACAAATATCTGTACTATCGTTGATCCTATATCTTCTGAATCTCTTATATTCTTATTAAAGCAATGTCTAACTTGAAGATAACGGAATAAGTCTTGTTTATCTAAGTTGTATTTATGAGAAAGTTGTTGGAAACTCTCTAGCCCACTCTCGGTAGAAATGAGGCAGAAGGATGTTATACCTTGTAACTTTAAAAGTTTTTGAAAGAAGTCTCTTTTGCTACAAGGCTGCATTTGTTTGATCAAAACTACAGTAAAAACATCAGTAAAATATTATTAAACTTGACTTTTTTTCTATTTTAAAATATTATAAAATGTAATTTATTCCTGTGATGCAAAGCTGAATTTTCAGCATCGTTACTCCAGTCTTCAGTGTCACATGATCCTTCAGAAATCATTCTAATCTGCTCAAGAAACGTTTCATATTATTTTCAGTGTTGAAAATACAAGTATTCTTTTTTCTTTCTTTCAAAAAAAAGAGAAAATCTTACTGACCTAACTTTTAAACTGATCTACTTTGTAATTTAGCTCACAATTTTCCAAACCAACTGTACACTTCCCATTAGACAGTTCAATCAGAGCAATCTGAGGTTAAAACCAACATGAAACACAATAGTTAGATGTTTGATAGGTCTGCAGGAATTTGAACTCCAAGATATCTGATGGAGGATGTATTCCATTTAAATGTGTAAATGTGTAAGGAAAAACCCTGTTCTTGAAATTGCCAATTTCAAGGATGAGTGAGCTATTTGGAAGTTTAGAGTTTGAGAACTCACTCTGAAAATGTGAAGGATGCAGCAATGTAGATGAAGTTCTCATAGTAGAGCTTGTTGTATTCTCTGAAGAAGTTCATGTCAGCAGTAACCTCGGAGGATCCAGCTCCCTTCACAGTGAGGGTGATGTAGGGTTGAAGAATGGGTTCATCGCAGGCATAGTCCAGAACCGCCCCAGCTTTTACCTCTGTGTGTAGCCTGATATCAGCCACTCCATGTTGCCAGAACTGGATAGGCACCTGAAGTAAAGAGGACACATGTTACGGAGAAGTCTGTAAAGAAAATGCGCAAATGCTACAATAAGCTGGTGGCATGACCATTGCAGAGCCATCTACACAGCCATGCCAAGATATCAGAAGTAAAAATTCTCAAAGCTATCCACCAACTTGAATAAAACAAATAACATGGCAGAAATGGCAGCTGACAACGGACCTGGGAAAACAACTGAATTTCTCAGAATGTTGGCAAAACCATCTTTAGATCTTATTGTTGTCGGTTACAAGAAAAAAGATGCTGGAATAACGCAGCGCTTTTAGAAAGATCTTTTAGAGTAGGCCTACGAGTGGAGAGGCACATATTGTCAGTGACATTAGAGCAAGGTGCATGCAGCTAGATGTAGGATATTTCTATCTTCTGGATATAGGCTCTGGAGTTGATTGGTGTGATATTGCTGTTAAACAAACTGAAGTTTGATCATCCTCAGCTGGGTAGACTGGATTGATGATGAAAGATTTGAAACACTCAAAGACTCCAAGATAAATCACAGAGAATGTGTCTAATCCCAGCATCAACAGATATTTTGTTGTTTAATATCAAGTCCCAGACCAAACAAGCAGCTAAATGTCTGCCCAAAATAATCATTAGCAGATCAAAAAGGTCTGTTTTTGATGTAAGGGCAGCACGGAGATAGAGAAACCACTGGACGCAGAGCTGTCAGGTGTGAATTCAATGCTTGACGGATGAATCGATTGCTTAAGTCATGCCAGAGGGAGTAAAAGAGCTATTTTGTGTGACAAAAGCTTTATATCCACCTTTTGTAATGGCTGGAATGGTGTCTCGCTCAGTACATTTAAAACCACCAACATATCATATGACAGGAAAACTGACTAAGGGGTCGGAAGAAGGTGACGGAAAATGTTCACACCTGCTGATACCTAACCCCAAATAACATAATATTGATTACAGGTACACTTTTTAAGTAGAATGTGATTCCTCTTGTAATGACTACTCTTTTATGAATGTTATAGTGACCAGAATTGAACAGAAATTAAATTATGTTTTCTTTATATTAGTTATTTTAAGAAGTCAAAGGCACAAACAGAACCCAAGTCTGCCTTGAGCAAAACTGACATTTCTGAAATTCAAGAGCTGCACTACAATTGTTTATATGATTTAGGTTTGAGATTGTGGTTAGCACTGCATTCTTTCATATTTCATGTGTTTTGACAAATTGAGCTAAGATGCTCTTGGGTGACCTGGGTTCAAGTATCACTAAGAGTATCTTAGTGATACTCTTTAGTCTCAAATCTCCTGAACCGTTCTACAGCCTTACAATACTTGATAATGTGTACCCTCTAAGGACTTACTTCAGAGATGTTATCTATACGGAAAGGTGGGGGCAGCTGGTCAGTGTCACTGAATGAGATTTGATATGTTGCACCTTTCAAAGCAATCTCAGCTCGGAGGAAGAAGCAGTTTCCCAAAGTGTCCCTATGGAACACATAATGAGAGGAAAAAGTCTATGAAATTGAGAACTCCTCTCTTAGTAATTTTCTGTTCTGCTCAGCCATCTCTACAGATTGAACATATTTGATGGCATTGGGTACCTCATGTTGATGTGGAAAGATTTAGGCTTGTTGACCTCAAAACCTCCAGACCAGGTGCAGTTGGGAACATCCATGAGACGGACACAGAGAAGCTGATCATAGTCATTTCTGGGCCAGTGGAATACAACACTAGAGCCTGGCAGGGTGGAGATATATCCCTCTGGATTTGCAGTACCCTACAAGCAAACAACAGGTTGTCATAACAAACAAAACATTACTGGCTATTATGCTGTGTCTTTTAAGATGTATTATAAATAAATGAAAACATGCATTCCCACCTTTCCTCTGACAAATTCCCGCTGAGAGAAGGCTAACTTGTGAGATGATCGATTGTCAAGCAGGTATCGTGGCGCAAAGGTCACAATGTGTGTGTCACGATAACGCCCCTTCCCTTTTCTCACATTTATTCCTATAATGAGACATTACATTACATTATTAAATCAACTTAGCACAGTGGTGTACAGTCCTACTTCTGGGGGCCACAGTCCTGCAGAGTTTAATATCAAACACAATTGAACCAGCTAATCAATGTCTTCAGGATTACTAGAAACTTCCAGCGAGGTGTGTTGCAGCAAGTTGGAGCTAAACTCCCCAGGATGATGGAACAGGATTAGACACCCCTGACTTTGCAGATACTACAATGCAAAAGACGCTTTTCTTAAAACAGGATAGGCAAAAACCTTATTATATTTTTCCAAGTGAACTCCCTCCATGAATCTGAATTAGTTGTGGTCATCTGAGTTCTCACCATTCTTCTTCTGTTATACTTATATTGGCTTCCTTTTCCCATGTTTGTTTCACATACATTGTTGAGTGTTTTTTTGATGACGTTAAACAGGAATAATTTCATGATACAAGTTTTTTATTCATCTTTTTTTTTATTTATAAGTATCTACAAATATCTGTACTATCGTTGATCCTATATCTTCTGAATCTCTTATATTCTTATTAAAGCAATGTCTAACTTGAAGATAACGGAATAAGTCTTGTTTATCTAAGTTGTATTTATGAGAAAGTTGTTGGAAACTCTCTAGCCCACTCTCGGTAGAAATGAGGCAGAAGGATGTTATACCTTGTAACTTTAAAAGTTTTTGAAAGAAGTCTCTTTTGCTACAAGGCTGCATTTGTTTGATCAAAACTACAGTAAAAACATCAGTAAAATATTATTAAACTTGACTTTTTTTCTATTTTAAAATATTATAAAATGTAATTTATTCCTGTGATGCAAAGCTGAATTTTCAGCATCGTTACTCCAGTCTTCAGTGTCACATGATCCTTCAGAAATCATTCTAATCTGCTCAAGAAACGTTTCATATTATTTTCAGTGTTGAAAATACAAGTATTCTTTTTTCTTTCTTTCAAAAAAAAGAGAAAATCTTACTGACCTAACTTTTAAACTGATCTACTTTGTAATTTAGCTCACAATTTTCCAAACCAACTGTACACTTCCCATTAGACAGTTCAATCAGAGCAATCTGAGGTTAAAACCAACATGAAACTGCATTAACCACCCATTTAACTTCCGTAATGTGACACAGTAAAATGATTTTTTTTTTCCATAGGGAATTGATTATGAAAAATAAAGTATATGACATAGTTGGGGAAAAAAAAACAAAGGAGATCTCAAGAGTGTCTTAAAACTGTGCTTAGATTCACCTAGATAAGTAGGACCTGAAAGATCTGTTTGATAAATGTGTTTTAAAACAGAACGCCCTGTTCCCATGGTATGATCTTATGTGATTCTGACAAGTGTTGGGGAGTAACTATTCGATAATTAAATCTCTAATAAATCATGAATCGGTTAAGTCGTGACTGGCAAACAGTTTGGATCAGAGTAATCAATGCGAGAGAGACAGAATGGAGTGGACTGTGGAAGCACACAGGTGGAGCAGAGAAGCAAAACTACTGTTCAGGGTTTCAAGTGCAGGTCAGTTTCATCTGTAAATATGCTATTGTAGTTTTGTCTTCGTTTACTTCGTTAAGCAGCAGCAGCCCATTGCTCATCAGTCATCACTCAAAATACTGTATGAAGGACATCATTATCATCTATTGTAATGTTACAGTAGCAATTTAGCAGACAAATAATCATATTTTATAATAGGTTTAGGGGGAGCTAGGGCAGACAACAACACAACTTACGTGTGACACAGTAAAATGATTTTTTTTTTCCATAGGGAATTGATTATGAAAAATAAAGTATATGACATAGTTGGGGAAAAAAAAACAAAGGAGATCTCAAGAGTGTCTTAAAACTGTGCTTAGATTCACCTAGATAAGTAGGACCTGAAAGATCTGTTTGATAAATGTGTTTTAAAACAGAACGCCCTGTTCCCATGGTATGATCTTATGTGATTCTGACAAGTGTTGGGGAGTAACTAGTTACATGCAATGGCGTTACGTAATTTAGTTACAAAATAAATGTAACTGTAATCAGTTACAGTTACTAAGAAAAAATGTGTAATTAAATTAGTTACTTATGAAAATGTTAACGATTACAAAGGGGATTACATTTGAATATTTACACACATCCACAAAAAGACAATATATGAATCCTGCAGGTTCTGCGTGTCCGTGGAAATCAGGCGCGGACTGGCCATCGGGAGAACCGGGACAATTCCCGGTGGCCTGGCAGCCGATTTGGCCCGCTATTTTAATATTATTATTGTATAGTTGCCTGGCGAATGTACTAAAGCGATTATTTCCATTCCATTTCGCCATTCGATAATTAAATCTCTAATAAATCATGAATCGGTTAAGTCGTGACTGGCAAACAGTTTGGATCAGAGTAATCAATGCGAGAGAGACAGAATGGAGTGGACTGTGGAAGCACACAGGTGGAGCAGAGAAGAGGTCAGTTTCATCTGTATATATGCTATTGTAGTTTTGTCTTCGTTTACTTCGTTAAGCAGCAGCAGCCCATTGCTCATCAGTCATCACTCAAAATACTGTATGAAGGACATCATTATCATCTATTGTAATGTTACAGTAGCAATTTAGCAGACAAATAATCATATTTTATAATAGGTTTAGGGGGAGCTAGGGCAGACAACAACACAACTTACGAAAATGAACGATGATTTTACTATAAATCCAAAAACAATATTGTTAAACCATGGTAACCACAAATTAACCATGGTTTTTGCTACACTAACCATAGTTTAACCATGGAATTTGTAATAAAAATAAATACAAATGGTAATCCATTTGCCAAAAAAAATTAAAATAATTGGTTTACTATAATAAAAGCATGGTTAATTTTTATAAGGGAAAAACATGACTCACACAAAAAGACAATATATGAATCCTGCATGTTCTGCGTGTCCGTGGAAATCAGGCGCGGACTGGCCATCGGGAGAACCGGGACAATTCCCGGTGGCCTGGCAGCCGATTTGGCCCGCTATTTTAATATTATTATTGTATAGTTGCCTGGCGAATGTACTAAAGCGATTATTTCCATTCCATTTCGCCATTCGATAATTAAATCTCTAATAAATCATGAATCGGTTAAGTCGTGACTGGCAAACAGTTTGGATCAGAGTAATCAATGCGAGAGAGACAGAATGGAGTGGACTGTGGAAGCACACAGGTGGAGCAGAGAAGCAAAACTACTGTTCAGGGTTTCAAGTGCAGGTCAGTTTCATCTGTAAATATGCTATTGTAGTTTTGTCTTCGTTTACTTCGTTAAGCAGCAGCAGCCCATTGCTCATCAGTCATCACTCAAAATACTGTATAAAGGACATCATTATTATCTATTGTAATGTTACAGTAGTAATTTAGCAGACAAATAATCATATTTTATAATAGGTTTAGGGGGAGCTAGGGCAGACAACAACACAACTTACGAAAATGAACGATGATTTTACTATAAATCCAAAAACAATATTGTTAAACCATGGTAACCACAAATTAACCATGGTTTTTGCTACACTAACCATAGTTTAACCATGGAATTTGTAATAAAAATAAATACAAATGGTAATCCATTTGCCAAAAAAAATTAAAATAATTGGTTTACTATAATAAAAGCATGGTTAATTTTTATAAGGGAAAAACATGACTCATGTGCAGTATTAGGATTTTTTTATAAAGATATTGTAGTGATGTACTAATTTTGACGTGTAGGCAATTTAGAAAGTATAGTTAGTTTTGTTAAATCTTGAGTATTAAAGTCATGAGAGAGACAGATATCAGGGCAAAATAAAGAGACTGAAAAGAAAAATGGAAGTGAAGGTGCAGTTCAGGAGAGAACTTTGAATTATTTTGCATGTCCCCAACCTAAGGATTTAAACCTTTTTTTATGTGAGGTCCATACAAAAAATAGGGTTGTCCATGTTTCAGAATTTGTTGTGGGTGTATGAGTGTGAGATTTCCCAGCTTGAATTTTTTTTCCCAGTCCGCCCCTCGTGGAAATTAATGGCGCAGACATGCGGTTTCATAGGCCTACTGAAGCTTGTGGTGTTTTCAGCCTCTGCCACCTCAATATATGAGTACATGAACACATAAACATAATCTCTAAAACTGCTCTGAGTCACTTCATGAGCATTTTACTTATTTTGAGAAAACTATCATCATATCATATACAAAGAGACACCAATGTTTCAGGAGTTTAGTACACAATAGGACACATGCATATTAGATAACCGTATTTGAGTTTTATTCATTATTATTTTTTTATTAACTTTTTTTTTCCAAACCATTGTTAGATGCAGTGTTTCCTGTAGTTATGCAAAGATTTGGTTTCAAAAACAGTATCAGTAAACTATTTCTTATGATTTTAAATCTGCATTGAACTTCAGATCAATCTCAAAGTAAAAGGTGGTACTAAAATCTGATTTTGTGGTGGATGTGTTCAAATTTGATCCTCTTATTTCAAGTAATGAAGGATTTTGGAAGTCTGAGCACTACTGTAAGGTTAACCCTGCATGGTGTAAATGTTTGAAAATGATTAACAGTACTTTAATAAAGTAATTGAAAAAGTTACACTACTATTACATTTTAAATAGGGTAACTTGTAATCTGTAACCTATTACATTTCCAAAGTAACCTTCCCAACTCTGAGACAAACTGTGGCCTTACCTTGCACCAGCCACTGCCCCATCATTCTTGCCAAGAGGCTCGTCCAACTCAACGCCACACCAAGCACCTTTCGCAAAGTCAGTTATGCCCAGAAAACGCACAACACCTGCCTTAGTTCCACCAACCTGAGGAGTCCAAGCAAAACGTTCCCTCAAACTTCCCTCAAGGAGCCACTAAGCATGAAGACAGACCAGAGACGGGCCTTACCAGCACACGATCACCCAACTTCAGTTCCCGCTGCAACTTCTTGGCCGAATCAGTCTCAGACAGATTGGATGCAGACTCGCTGGTGGCCCTGGTTAGGTTTGTTGAGGTCTTGGTTGTTGCACTAGTGGTTTGAGTTACAGGAACAGGATCTTTGGCAGGGGAGGTGGACGTCTTGTTGGCGGGTGTCTGCGTCCCATTGGCTTCACGCTCTGCCACTGGAGTGCGGGACAGTTTGGAGGGCCGAGTAAATATACCTCGCAAGTCCTCGCACTGGAAGTAGCGCACTTCGGCCACAGAGCCGTCGTTTTTCCCGATAGGTTCATCTAGAACTATTCCCGCCCATTGGCCCGGTGCAAACTGGGTCCCTCCGATGAACTGCACATAACCTGGTTTATTTCCGTTGACCCAAACTCGTTCACCAACAGAGAAATCTGACGCAGCATCTTGGGCCGGATTAGAGGTTGGAGATGTTACAGCCTTGGCGTCAGCTACAATCAGCCAAAATACAAGCACGTCAGGTCTGAATCAGTGTGTTTCTTATGTAACCTATGGGTGACTCACCTGAGGTGGGCGAGGTTTTGGTTGGTGTCGCAGCTGCTGGTTTTCCAATCTTGGTGGGTGGTTTGAGACCACTCGGCTTTCCCGCACTCATTTTACCTGCTTTACGCACGCAAATGTGCTATTCCTGCAGGGCCTGGAAAAACATCAACCCACCCTGACCAGATAAGATTCCCTATCAGAAGGAAATACAAGTTCAGAATACAATTTTATTGCGTTTAGGTGTTTTAGTGTGTGATAAACCATCTTAATTGTGAAGTCATGATGAAACCGAAATAGCGACACACATTTCTTTCGTATTGTGATGTACATTTGAGTGATTATCGAAAAAGGCAGGACTTGGTTCTATCCATCCGGTTGTTGTTTGGATTTTGGGATGTGGGCGTGTAGCATGTGCTTGTAGGGGTTGGGTTTAAGCAGACTAAATGATTTTTGAAGTACATTGATGTTTGAGAGCATGCAACGTTACCATTGTAATACCTTACCAGTTCAGCATCTTTTAGGACCTGTACCACGGTATTATCATCTGACACAGCCACTGTACCATGTTACCACCAAAGCAATATTTATAATTTACTTTATCCATTAATAATAAATCAGTGGTTATTCATTTGATTTTAAGGAAGAGTAAATAAAGTTAGTTGTACTTTTGCCTTCTGCTGGTTTTCCAATCTTGGTGGGTGGTTTGAGACCACTCGGCTTTCCCGCACTCATTTTACCTGCTTTACGCACGCAAATGTGCTATTCCCGCAGGGCCTGGAAAAACATCAACCCACCCTGACCAGATAAGATTCCCTATCAGAAGGAAATACAAGTTCAGAATACAATTTTATTGCGTTTAGGTGTTTTAGTGTGTGATAAACCATCTTAATTGTGAAGTCATGATGAAACCGAAATAGCGACACATATTTCTTTCGTATTGCGATGTACATTTGAGTGATTATCGAAAAAGGCAGGACTTGGTTCTATCCATCGGGTTGTTGTTTGGATTTTGGGATGTGGGCGTGTAGCATGTGCTTGTAGGGGTTGGGTTTAAGCAGACTAAATGATTTTTGAAGTACATTGATGTTTGAGAGCATGCAACGTTACCATTGTAATACCTTACCAGTGCAGCATCTTTTAGGACCTGTACCACGGTATTATCATCTGACACAGCCACTGTACCATGTTACCACCAAAGCAATATTTATAATTTACTTTATCCATTAATAATAAATCAGTGGTTATTCATTTGATTTTAAGGAAGAGTAAATAAAGTTAGTTGTACTTTTGCCTCTGGTGTTTATCTAAATATTAAAAATAAGAATTATTAATGGCACTTTCAGCCATTTCAAATCAATTTGGACTCTACTGTTAAATGACTAAATTTTGTTTATTTTTAGCAAGCTAACGTTAACTAGCCAAACAATAACTATCCACGAATTTCACATTGCATTCCTCAAAATAAATATGAAAATGTCTGTTTTCAGTATGTTACATTTATACGTGGCTGTGTTCTTCATGTCATAAACTGTCTGCTAGCCGACATTAGCCAGAGGAGCTAAAGCCGCTAAATGCAACACAAATGAGCTCAATGCATTGAGCTTTAGATGGAATAAAGTTATGATATTCTCTTACCTGAACCGCTTTGATGTGTCGCATTCCTCCGTGATAAGGGAAATGAAAGGATTTGGCGTTTGTCTGGATGATCTCACACTAGTGATGGTGATGGGTGAGGCAGTTCAACACAAAGCTGCACCCAAACACTTTAATTAGTGACTTTTGAATACTGCAAATGAGCAAGTTCAACAGTAATTAAAATGGGCTGGCATCAAAGAAAGTGGGAAGAAGTGCTTTTATGAAATGATGCATGAGGACTTTTGTTGCAGAATACGTTTGATTGTAAAAACAATTGTCTTTCAGGCAATTGCAATGTCTTGATAGGGGGAAGCAGAAAATTAGTTGGCCTGTGATAATGCATAATTCTCAGTAGGAGTTCTGTAATATAGTTTCATAAATTATTTGTTAACGCAGACATATTTTTGGATTGAATTATTGAGAAAGGATATGACCGGAAGGTGTCAGTGTACTGTGGCGGCCACTAGTGGTCAAAAATAATAATAATAATACATTATTTAAAAATCAGTAAATTGTAAAAAAATAATAATAATAATAATAATAATAATTCATTCATTTTCAGTAAAGTTGAATGGAATAAATGTCGCATTTGTACTATTCTGACCAAAAGAGAGCGCACAATGATTATATATCGCAAATAAATAAATAATAATAATAACATTTATGTTTCTGATAGTAACTAGTTGTCTGATAGTAAACTCCAGGTACATTTGCACAGGTTTAAATGATGATATAGCCTCATTATTGCCTCAGTTTTAGGCCCCTCCTACTGTATTCTGAACCTGCAACCTGTGGTTTTCGCATGCTGCTGATACATTCCACAACAATAATTATCAAGTAGTTATTTGTATGCATAACTAATAATGGAATCCAATATTTAACATCCCATTAAAACTATTTAACATCAAATTAAAAACCAGCTTATGACTGTATTGATTGCAACGTTCCAGTTAGATTGCAATATTGTCGCATGCATATTCACAAATTCCCTCATCGAACGTCGAAAATGTTATTCAGATATGATTCCGTTTGGTTGCAACATCTGCATGATTGTGTGCATGTGCATCATCACCAGAGGGCGCATGCACTGGACGTGAGGACTGCTGTACTGATCCATTACAATAATACGGACATGTCTTTATTCTGGACCATTGAACTCGGGAAGACAGTATAGACTATAGATCTTGCAGTAACCAGCACATGGATGTTTTCGTCTGAATGCAGCGCTCGTGCTGCGTGCTAATCACATGCATCTGTGTTCCTTCTGCAATACACGAGAAAGACCAGGAAGCCAAAGGACTCCATACAGGATTAATGTCCAATACAAAACACCGTGTATGAGGTAAGATGCACACGAAGCTTGATTTGAATAAAATAAAATAGCAGAGATGTTTGATTACAAGGTTGTTGTTTTTTTTAAATACCCACCCCCCCACAAATATCAGGATGCGTTTCATAGTATTATTTTATAAACAGACAGAAATAATATATTTGATATGTGCAAAGATCTTATGCACGTGTGGAAGGATCTTTTCACATTCCAGCTGCTGCCATTTTGTCTCTGTGGTCATTTTAATCAGATGCGATAGATCCACATTTCCACAAGGCTTGGTGACTTTTCCTATTATAGCCATCTGAACACACAAGTGCGTTCCCGGTCAGATTTGATCCATCATTGTAAAAATAAAAAAAATAAAAATTTGGCTGAGACTATATAAACACAGCAATTATTAAATAATTTGTCAAATAAAATAAACCAATCATGCACGTAGAAATGAAGTCATGAGACTTTTAGCGCATCTATAATGCAGAACAGACAAACAAATGAATGGATGAGGCTATAACACAATATCCTCAATGTTGTCTATACGCAGACATTCTGACTGAGATTCACTTTATTGGCATGGCTTTAGAGTTACTAAATATGAAATACATAAAGCGACGCAAGCGCAAATAAAAACATACAAGCACAAAAAGCAACAATGCAGAACACTAAAAAGAAAGTGTGACGCTATTGGCTCGTTTGATACAAGCAGGTTCTGCGCAGAACCGCACACAGCAGGTAATCATCTCACTAGGGGGCTTTTAATATATATATTTTTTGCCTTACATGTATTGTGGATTCCCTTAAAGGGATAGTTCACCCAAAAATGAAAATGTGATGTTTATCTGCTTACCCCCAGGGCATCCAAGATGTAGGTGACTTTGTTTCTTCAGTAGAACACATATGATGATTTTTAACTCCAGCCATTGCAGTCTATCAGTCGTATAATGCATGGCAATGGTAACAAAATTTATGAGAGTAAAAAAAACATGCACAGACAAATCCAAATTAAACCCTGCGGCTCGTGACGACACACTGATGTCCTAAGACACGAAACGATCGGTTTGTGCGAGAAACCGAACAGTATTTATATCATTTTTTACCACTAATACACCACTATGTCCAACTGTCTTTGGGCGTGTGCACGTCATCCGGTGCGTGAGGTGTGTACGCGCTCTGGCGTAGTTTCTTAAAGCAGAGAAGGTTTTTTCGAGTTAAATTTCGAGTTAAAAAGTCATAATTGAGAGATATAAACTGGCAATTCTGAGAAATAAAGTCAGAATTGCGTGATATAAACTCACAATTCAGACTTTTTTTCTCGCAATTGCGAGTTTATATCACGCAATTCTGACTTTTTTTGTCAGAATTGTGAGATATAAACTCGCAATTCTGAGAACATATTAGTCCTTTTTCCCCCCTCAAAATTGGACTTATAAACTCGCAATTGCGAGTTAATCTCACAATTCTGAGAAAAAAAAGTCAGAATTGCGAGATATAAACTCGCAATTGCGAGAAAAAAGTCAGAATTGCACGTATATATCTGACTATATCTCGCAATTGCAAGTTTATATCTCACAATTCTGTGAAAAAAAGTCTGAATTGTGAGACAAAAAGTCGCAATTACCTTTCTTTTTTTTTTTTATTCAGTGGCGGGAATGGGCTTCCATAGAAACGGGCTTCCATACCTTATGCTATGGAGGCTCTCTCTTTTTTGTTTGATTCCTGTGATTTTGATTTATTTTTAGTGTTTGCTAATACATTATAGAACATTTACACGCTGTAGGCCATGCCTCATCTTATTCGTTTTTGTTAACGTTTTGTAAGCTAGTTTGTCATTGAATACTGGTTTATTGTTGTTGTGCATTTTAATTAAAAATAATGAATCCATCTTTTTTTTTGTCTTAAAACGTGAAAGGTGTATAGATGTAAGCAAAACAGACAATTATATTTTATTGTAAAACGAAAAGTGAAAGCATCCGAAGCACGGCTTATAACGTGTCAAAAGAGGGACTTGCCTTCAAATCACAAATAATACTACTGATGAAAAAGAACTGGTTGAATGTTAACTACTTTCGTTTCCATATAACTATAAACTACCATAAAAGTTCATCAGCATGCATTGATTAACAGCTTGTTGTAGCGCTAAAAAAAAAAACCGTGCTCGTGCAGCCAACTGAGAAAATTAAATCGCAAAAGAGCGACCAGTGGGAAGAATGACTCTAGAGCCCTG